ATGGGGACAGCACGGGCGGCCGTGATGGGTGGGGCGTATCAGCAGGAGTCCAGCCAGGCCAGGGACCAGTGCAGGGGCAGCTGGGCCAGACGCCTCCCCTCAGTCCCAGGCTCTCGGGGCACAGCCAGCTCAGCCTCCAAGCTACAGGCGAGTGTGTGTGTGTGTGTGTGTGTGCGTGCACGCGTGCATGTTTGTATGTCCATGTGTGCCTTGTGCTTATGTGTACTTGCCAGTGGCAGCCTGCAGGGCAGCTCACACAGAAAGGGCCGTGAGTGGTTTTCAGGACAGAAGGTGGGGTGGGGGCAGGGAGGGGCAGGGCTGGCCCCCATCCCCCTTTCAGAACTGAGTCTGCCCTGGCCAGCCCCACCCAACCGTGGGCAGTGGGCTGTGAGAGCCTGCATGGTTCCTGCCTGTGTGGGCAGTGTACAGCAAGGTGACCTTGCCCCGGGGTCCTGACCCCTCAGGTCACCAACTGCTCCCCAGGGGCACTCAGGGCTCAGGTGTTCTCAGGGCACTGGAGTAGAGGAGGGAGCTGAGGTCCCAGAGACAGCTACGGGCTGAGAGGGCATTGGGAGACCCCAGGGCTGGCCATGGAGTGGGCACTGCAAACAGCCCCCCAGGGGTCCCAGTGGGAAGGGCAGGAGGCAGCTCTAAGCACTGCCTGGTGAACTAACCACACTGCTCCCCCCGAGGTACCGTGAGAACCTAACACGACCCCACCGGGGGCTGCGATGGCCCAGGAGCTTGAGGCCAGACTCTGCCAGAAGGGGAACTGGCACCTGGCCCTGGGAGAGCCCTCACTGGCCATGGCTTTCTACCTGGCGGCCTTCAGCTGCCACACCCCCTCAGCTGTGCACAGCATGAGGAGCGCCCTGACCAAGGCCCAGGGGTGGCCATGCTGGACACCCTGGAGGCCTGGTGCCACGGCAACAGCTGGATCCCCACTGTGCACTGGGATGCATGGCCGTAGTCTCCCTGATGGCCACCCTGGCCTCCGCCTTACTCGGCGCCCTCTGCCCAGACCACCTGGCCGCGGTGCTGCATGGGCTGGCCAGGCTACTGGCCCGCGGGCACCACAAGGAGGTGGCTTTGTGCTATAGCCAGCTGCTGGACTCCCACTCCCAGTCCATGCTGGAGCTGCAACTGAGCCGTGCCCTGGCCTGGGTGCTGTCTGGGGCTCGGGCTGCGGAAGCTGTGGCTGACTACCTGGGTGCCTTTGCCACCAGTGCTGACCACACCCTGGCCTTTGTCCACACCCACCAGCGGCCCTACCTCCCCGCGGTGCTCCACGCCCTGCAGAGCCACATCTCGGAGCTGCGGGGGCTGGGGACAAGGATGGCTGGTGGGTCCTGGTGGCCATGGAGCCTGAGGACACCCCAAGCACCACCCTGTCACCTGAGGCACTGCTGGGAAGTGGCAGCTACGCGGATTGCCTGGCAATGTGCAGCCAAGCCCTTCAGTTGGCCCCCACAGGCTGTAGCCAATGTAGGCAAGCAAGTCTGCCCCTTGGGCGGGGCTGGGGATGCCAACATGACTCGGCAGACCCGCCTCTGCCCTCATGGAGCACCCAGGAAAGAAATCACCAAAACTGGGTCTTTGAGAACCAGCAGGGCTGCAGCTCTGATTGGGGCGGGTTCTCGGAGCAGCTGTCGTGTGAGTCCTCCCAGCTGCAGGAGCAGAACCTGCAGGGGCAGCCAAGGGGGCAGCAGGAGGGATGGGGCAGCCTCAGGGTGGGGGATTGAGGACCTGGATCCTACACGCGTTGCGGGGAGCAGCCATTGGGGGTCTTAGCCTGTGGAGCGGCTAAGCCTCTCTCCATGGTCTCTGGCTGCTGTGCAGAGAATGTTCCAGAAGAGTGGGAATGCAGAGACCCTGGGCCCCGTGAGAGAGGAGGGGTCAGAGCAGGAGGGAGTGGACAGGAGGGTCTGAGGCTTCCCTGGGCCGGCAGCACTGCTGCATTCAGCCCTGGAAGGAGGGGCGTGAGTCGGCCCTGGACGCTGCACTGGGTGGGGTGATGTCAGGGTTCCCAGCCCCCCCAGGCTGAGATGCTGGTGCCCCCGGGCCTTGGCAGCTCCCCTTCCGGGGGCTGGCACCGTGTGCAGGGGACGCAGCCTGCCCTACCGCTCCATGCACCCCTGAAGCTGTGTGGCCACTCCACGCTGGCTCCCAGGTGTGCATGGGACAGCAGCTACACCTGTCTCCAACGGTTGCTGTGCAGAGCCAGCGAAAATGCATCCCAGAGCCTTAAAGCAGTGTCACCGTGAAGTGCCGGAAGACACTGTGAGCCGATCGAGGAACATGTGCTTAGGTGGCTGCCATGGAGCCTGGTGCCATGGGCGGCTTGGTCTGCAGGCCAGGCTTCAGAGACAGGGAAAGGTGGAGGGAGACACAGGGCCAGAGGCCTGGAGGGGCCAGTGGCCAGCTACCTCTCACTGAGGGCTTGGCCCCAGCTTAGGGGTCCCGGGGGTGTCCTCACTGGCCCAGCCACTGCAGGTGTACAGGGCCAACAAGAGCACATGGAGCAATCATGGTAGGCTGGGGTGTGTTCCCTGCAGTGTCCATAAGCAAACCCCCATGGTGCTCCCCAAAGGAGGAGCCAGCGAGAGAGACAGGGGAGGGAGGAGGAGGAGGAGCTGGGGTGAGCAGCTGGGTGGAGGAGCAGCTGGGGGAGGAGTACCTGGGGTGGACGAGGACCTGGGGGGAGGAGAGGCTGGGGGGGGAATACGTGGGGGTAGGATTACCTGTGGGAGGGGTATACCTGGAGGGAGGAGTACCTGGGAGAGGAGGAGCAGACAACGGGGAGCCAAGTGTGCTGGGACTCTGCCGGGCTGGGCCATGTCCACCTTGGCTCTGAGGTGGGCAGAGAACCGTGGTCGGCAGGACCCGGGTCACTTGGGGGTGAGCAGCCACCCGCAGGAGCCGGCTCACCCTGAGAGGGCAGCAAGTGCGGCTGCCTATGGCACTTGTGTTCCAGGCTCCAGGTCACTGTCTGAAGTGCTGGGAGCACTCAGCAAACCCGACCAGACTAGACCAGACCAGACTGGAACCTGTGCGAGGGTCAGAAGTCCCCTGGCACACAGTTCTGCAGTCTGGGAGGTCACAGCAGGCACCAGGAGCGGCACCAGGAGCGGCACCACAGGCCCGGCAGTGGTGGCCCCAAGAGGGGCTCTGAAACGTCGATCTCATAAAGGGACAAAAGCTGGCTGGATGCACCCCAGAGGCACGGACCCCACCGGACAGGGCAGGGTTGGGGGCCTCCACGTACCACTGCCACGAGTGGGGTGGACGCTGGCATGTGTTGTGGAGGCCACGGCAAAGGCTGTTCCCCTGCCCCTGGTGGCACATGGCCACACTGGGCACAGGACGAATGGCAGCAGGTCACAGGCCAAGGGCAGCTCTGACGCCAGTCTCCCGGTGAACATGCGGGCAACACGGCTCCGGCACCTGCCTGCCTTCCATTCAGGGATGTTCCCCAGGAAGTGCAGAGAAGGGAGAGGTGGGCCCCGGGCAGGAGCTGCCTGGCCATGTGACCATGTTAGGCGCTCCACCAATCCAGCACAGCAGACATGACATCATGTGTTTCTGAAGTCCCCTCCTAGGAGCCAGAGCAACTCCCTATTTAAAGGCAGAATTCCAGAGAGAGACAGAGCTTCCATTCACTGGTTCATTCCCCAAATGGCTGCCATGATGCAGGCTGGGCCAGGCTGGAGCCAGGAGCTCCATCAGAGTCTCCCACAAGGTGCAGGGGCCCAAGCACTTGGGCCATCATCCACTGTCCAATGTCAGCAGACATTGCACAGAGAGCCACAAAAATTCTAGATCTGAAACACATCAGAGGTGGCAGAAGAGTCAGTGGACGTGAGGACGGAGTGAGAATTGAGGTGCAGCCCCCGGGTCACACCAGGACACCCCAGGTGTGTGACCTGTGACCCCGGGCCACACCAGGATGCCCCAGGTGTGTGACCTGTGACCTGTGACCCCGGGCCACACCAGGATGCCCCAGGTGTGTGACCTGTGACCCCGGGCCACACCAGGATGCCCTAGGTCTGTGACCTGTGACCTGTGACCCCGGGCCACACCAGGATGCCCCAGGTCTGTGACCTGTGGCCTGTGACCCCTGGGCCACAACAGGAAGCCCCACGTGTGTGACCAGACTCTCAGAAGGAGAGGGGTAAGGAACTCCCCACACCCCAGACCCCTGGGGTCTCCTGGGATGCCGATCCCCGGGATCCGTGAACACATGTACAGCTCGGGCCGGCCTTGCTCTGTGCAGCAGCGACCAACAACAGGGGCTCGCGGCTGCTGGCACGAGGCCGGGGCCTCTTGGCAGTGGTGGTAGTCTCAGGGTTGATCTCACACTGGACTCTGGCCGACGTGAAGTGGGGACAGCCACAGCCGGGTGCACATGTGTGCACGTGCCAGGCCTCCTGCCCGCCATGGGGTCTGGGTGTAGAGGATTGCCGCTGCTGCCATTGCTGCTGAGTTTAAAGGTAGCGCTGAGAGCCTGCAGGACTTGGGAGGAACGCCGGGCACAGGGTCGGACAACCGGGCTGGGCCGGGAGCTCTCCTGGGCGCTGAGGGCCCCTCCCATGGAGTATGGCTGGGGGAGACAGAACCTTGGGCTCCTCCTGGCCCTGGGCCTGCTGCGCTGCCTTCCCTCTCACACAGCTCCGTGCACACACGTGTGACGGGGATGTTCGCGGCGCACCAGGCCCGGCCTGACCCACTGGGTCCTCACAGGCCGACCTCACAGGTGTGCCGACCACTGGCACTTCTGGGCCCAGGTGGAAGAGGTCACAGGCAAGGGGACCCAGGAAAGGGTCCAGGGCTCGGCAGCGGCACCGCTGCCTCCTCCTCCCCCCTGGCCTGACAGGGAGATCCAGTCCAGAGAGGCACGGAAGCCTGGGGTCTCCAGGTAGCCCCCAGCAGGCAAGAAACCCAAGGCCCCTCCATGCGCAGTCAGAGCCAGGGCCGGTCCCCCTAGAAACCTCAGTGCTCCAATTCCCTCAGTGACCGCCAGGGGGCGAGGAAGCTCCAGCTCCAGCTCCACTTGGTCTGGGGTGAGGCGGACACAGCGGTGCTGGGGTCAGCGCCGCCCACCCCAAGCTGGTTATGGGGTCTGCTTCCCACCCTGCTCTGTCCCTGAGGGGCTTCAAGACCCCCGTATCCTCGCGGCCCCAAGTTCTGGACTGCTGGACGCCAGAGTGAAAGTAACCGCAAGGGGTCCAAAGCCCCAGGGCAGGGCAAGAGGCCTCGGGTGCCACCTCTCAGGGGGTCCCCAACGTCTGTCTGTCCCCTAGGTGAGCGCCTGGCCACCCTGCTGGTCACGCGCGCTGCCGCCGCCTTCTTCCTGGACGGCCTCGCGGAGGACATGCTGCGGCATCTGCACGACGCCTTCCGCGAGAGCCCCTCCGCCGCGCGCTGGCAGTTCCAGGCCGTGCTGTCCATCCGGGACCAGGAGCGCGTCCGGGCCCAGGCCCAGGAGGCCGCGGACCTGGGCTTCGCCTGCTTCCAGGAGGCCGTGCGGAGCCGCCCCGAGCTCCGCGAAGATGCGGACTGCGAGCTGCTGGCACAGGTGACTTGGGCGCTCTGAATCCTGCTCCACATGGCACCAGCCGGGGCCTAGCCTGCGCTGGGCACCCGCCTGGCCGAGTGCCTGCTGCTGGCCGGGGACGTACCGGATGCCCGGGCTCTGTGCGAGGGCCTTCTGCGGCCCACTGGCCCTGGGGACGCCGCGGAGGACCGCGCTGGGGAGCATGCACAGCTGCTGGGGGAGCATGCACCACTGCTGGCGCTGTGCGGCTTTTGTGTGCTGCACCCCAGGGAAGCACAGGGAGCCTGGGAGGACTTCCCCGCGGTGGTGGAGCAGAGAGGGCTGCACCCGCGGGCTGTTGCGGGTCTGGCCGGCAGCGCCTTCCTGGGCACAATGGATTATGTCACCGCGTGCGGGCTTTGGCCAGAGGAAGCACTGGTTGGCCTCCAAGGCCTTCGTGCCCTGGAACCAGCGCGGGCTGCTGCTGATCATGCTGCAGGAGGAGGGCCGCCAGATGCTGCAGTGCCTGCCCCCGCCCCCCGCCGGGTTGCCAAAGTCAGGCTGCCAGTAGTACCTCCACGCCCCTGCCAGGGCTGCTGTTCCTGTCTGGTCCTGCGAGGCGGCGGCGATGTTTCTTCCTGTTCTGGGCGAGCTCCCTGGACACAGGGGACACCTTGGGCTCTGGGTTGGACACACCCCTCTGCCAGACACTGAGAGACAACAGCACCCGTCACTCCCGGTTCCATTTCCTTCTGGTCCTCCTTTCTCTGTTCACATACCAGTCACAGCGCTGAGCTTGGCTGCGCCAGGTGTGTATCAGGTGTGCACCTGCTCCCACCCGACAGCCCCAGATGTTTTGCTCTTAGTTCCAAGGCCTCTAGGTGGCATCCCCCCTCCCCTCACCATGGAGATGGCCCTGGGGGTGCTGGGTCAGGGAGCAGCTCCCCTGCATGGCCCCTGACTTCAGAAGCCCCTCCCCCCATTTGAGAGACTTAAGGACCCAACGGGTGAATCTCCAGCTGCTGCCATTTGTTCTCCTCAGTTGGGGGGAGGTGTGTGGGAGGTGCTTCAGCGGGCAGGGGGCAGCGGTGACATCAGCACACACACAGATCCTGCAGTCCCCTGCTGGATCCCCGGGGGAGGAGAAACCCTCAGGACCAGGGACTCCCTCCATTCTCTCTGGGAAGTGTCACCATCATCCAGTCTGCCCCCGACCTGCGCCCCTGAGCCCACAGGGCCAAATGGCTCGCTCCTGCTTCTGCAGAACAGAGAACTGAGGCAGAGTCTGCTCAGGGTCAGCCCTCCTGCTGACCCTCTGCCCACCCCCAGGCCTGCTGTCTGAAGAATACCCACCCACGGGGTGGCAGGAGGCTGGAGCCAGAGGCTGGGGTCCAGGGTCAGCCACCAGGAAGGGCAATCAGGGTCCTGCGGTCAGCGCAGCCCGTGAGGGTCCCTCTGGGAGCCCAGTGTCTCCACGGCCCGACCAGAAGGGCTGCACAGGCCAGGTGCACAGGGAGGCCTGTGCACCCCCCCACACCTGTGTGGATGAGAGGTGCGTGGCAGGCCCAGCCTGAGCCACCTTCCCGCAGGGATGCCCGCGGTGTGTACCAGCTGGCCTCATTGCTAATGGAGCTGGACGTCGAGGATGAGGCTGCGCGCCTGCTGGCCACCGATGCCCTGGGCCGCCTGGGCCACCTGGATGACACTCACAGGGCCCTGCAGGCGGCGCTGGCGCAGGGACCGCTGGTGGCCGAGGTGCTGGTGCGGCTGGCGCTGCTGCAGCTTCGCAGGGGCTTCACCTTCAATGCCCACCAGATGAGGAGCCCAGGTGGGGGCTCTGCCCCTGACCCCGTCTTCCGTGCTCCACCTGGCAGGCTGTCCAGGACACAGCCAGGGCAGTTGTCCCCCAGTGGTTAAGGGAGGCTCCCGGCCCTCAGGGCCCTACCTGTCTGGCCCTGCGACCCCTCTGCTCCTGGGTGAGACCCACTCACACCTGCGTGCATGCTCCAGGGGCCACACTCTTGGAACAGGGGCAGCAGGTTAGGTGCGGAGGGGGGGACTTCAGGCTGGGGAGGCCTGGCCAAGGGTCCTGTCTGCCTCTCCCCGGCATCCCCCTAGCCCTGGGGGCAACAGCATCCTGGAACAGGAGCTGCTGGCCAAGGCACTGGAGCATGCATGAGCCGCCGGCAGGTGGCAGCAGGGGGTCTCCTTGGGGACCGCCTCGGGAGGTGGGGTCTGTCCTCCCAGAGCCTTCCTGCTTTGTTCCTGGCTCTGAGCTTGAGGATCTGGGAGCCTTCTTCCAACTCCAGCTGGCAAGGTGTTCACCTGTGTGTGGGAGCCTGGCGACCCTGAGACCCCCACCCCAGCCGCGCGAAGGCATAGCAGAGCCACACCCTGCACTTTCTGGGCTCCAATCCAGGGGCGAGTTGGGAGCACCCCCAGAGTCTCGGGAGCACGAGGAGGATCGGGCAGCCGTGCCTGAGGGGCTGCAGTGACCGGCTCCCCCTGCAGCTGGTGAAGAGGCTTGTCCAGGCCAGGGACACTGCCTGCCACCAACGCTGAGAAATGAGGGGTGGACGCCAGGACTCACCTGCAGGAGGAGGGGATCCCACCCCAGTGGCCTGGGAGACTGGATGCAGCGAGCCCCCTCCTTGGAACGTGAGACCGCCTGGAGGAAGCCACGGAGAGAGACGGAGACCCGAGCGGACCGGCAACAGTCCAGGGCCCCATCTGGGGCGTCCGAGACCCCCAACCAGGAAAGGCTTTGTGCCTGGTGGATTTCCCCGCGAAGCACCGACATTTAGAGAGACCCACAGAGGAGGGAGAGACCCTGACCCCAGAGCCAGGCAGGCGCCCCCTTCAGAAAGCAAGTGGGAAATGGCGCAAAGAACAAAAAAAGCAAAGCTCATGCAGACTCTGCATAACACGCGTTTTCAAGGACTGCTGAAGCCCTCCTGCAAGACCCCTACACCTAGCACGGGGCCCCCGAGCCCCCCGGGCCCCAAGGTCATCTTCTACACCTAGAGGTGCTGACCACGGGACCCCGCCCAGGGTAGGCAGGTGGGCCTCGGCCCCCCAAGCCCCGAGGTCTTCTACACTTAGCACAGGGCCCCGCCGGGGGGCGGTGCCCTCCGTCTCCCAGAGCCCCCAGGCAGAGGCCGGCTGTGGCCATGGCCACCCAGCCCGTGCCCAGGGCGGCGCCTTTGACCAGGTGATGGAAGGGTGTGCTCTGGGGGCCGTGTCCAGCCTTGTTCAGGGGCTCTGGGCAGCTGACTTCAGGACAGAGGCCAGCTAGAGATCCCCTCTGGTGCCCAGTAGAAACGGGGTGGGGAGTAATGGGGTTCATTGTCGTGGCAGAGTGCGGCAGGCAGGGCAGCCCCTCCAGACGGAGTCCCACCCCCGCCCGCCTCCCTTCCAGGAAGCCGTGGCCGACATCATCTCTGCCCTGAAGCTGGACCCGGCCGCTGTGGTCCCTGAGCTCCACTCTCTGAGGCGCGACGCCCAGGGCCTCCTCGAGCAAGGCCTGCACGCTCACTGCTGGGCGCTGCAGAGCCGGCCCCCCCAGGAGGACGACGCCCAGGGCCTTCTGGCCGCTGGGGAGGCACTGGTCCAGATGGACGGCACACAGCCCAGTGGGCACCTGCTGCTGGCCAACGCCCTTATGGCGCTGGGTATGCCCGGCCTGCGTCACCCTTTGACCTGATCCGCAGGGAAAGCGCCCCTGGATGGCAGTGACTTCTGAGGCCTCAGCCATGACCACTGACCTCCCTCTGTGCCCCGCAGAGACCCGGCTCTGCCCGGGTGGCCTTGCCCCACATTGCCCTTGTGCTGTGCCAGCAGCTTCCTGAGAGCGGGGTTCCCACTTCCGGTTCTGCTGGGGCTGGTGGCGCTGCCCTGGGCTGCGGTGACCATGGGGGAGAGGCAGGGGCTGTGCAGCAGGTGAATCCGCGTGCCTCTGCCCGCAGACCTTCGCCCACGCCCACACACACCCCTCCCACCCCTACAGGCAACTAAGAGGCAGGCGGTGCGCATCTGCAGGGGCCCTGCACTCTGCTCAGGAGTCCGCGGCGGCCCCGGGCGGGGCCTGCTCAGGCTGAAGCAGGGAGAGTGCAGGCTGCGGCCCGGGACCTGCAGGGCCTGGCTGAGGCGGAGGCTGTGGACCTGGGCTTCCTGCTGCGGCTGCTGAGGCCTCCGAGGAGTAAAGCCTGCCCAGGTGCACCCGCGGGGTGCGCGTCGCGTGTGCGATGGGCGCGAGCAGCATCACCGGCCGGACCCGGGTCTCTGGCCGCCGGCCGCCACGGCCACGGGCCTCTGGGCTCGCTCGCAGGGGGCATAAGCCTCCCGGGGGTGGAGGGAGACCCCTCGGAGCCCGCCCTGCACCAAGCCCGCCTCGTGCAGGGCGGCGCAACAGCTTCTACCGGGCCTGCGCGTGGCGGGGGCTCCCGCGGCCTCAACCAACAGCGCCGGATGGTGGGCTGGGTACCGGAGCCCGGATCCGGGGACACGCGCGGGGGTCTCGGCTCTGATGTGGGGCCAGGCGGGGCCTCTGGGGCTGGTGACGGGGCTGTGCGGGGTACTGAGCTCACGGAGGTGGGCGCTGGGCGGGGCCTCTCGACTTACGGGACATGTTGGGGGGGGCCTCTGGGCATGGAGGCGGGGTCTCAGAATTCTCATAAGCACCTGGGCGGGGATCCCTTGGCTCTAGGGAGAACTGGGCGGGGCCTCTGGGCTCGGAGGCGGGGCTGAGGCAGCATCTCTGAGAAGCTGCGGGCTTGCCTGGAGTCCAAGAGGATGCTGAGCGACCCTAGCAGAACCGGAAGTAGCCGTTCCCCACTTCCGGTGGCTGGCGGCCGGTCCCCCGACTCGATCGGCGCGCTCCTCCCGCTGCCCACCCAGCCCAGCTGTGTGGGGCCTGAGCGCGCCCTCCGGGCCGGGCCGCAGTCTGGGGCGGGGTCTCTGTACAGCCTCTCCCGGGGGTTCATGAGCCCAGGAGGGTGACCGAGGGGGCTTCAGCTCGGCCCTGAAAGGAAGGCGCCGGCGGCATGGCCAGAGCTGCGCACTCCCCGCCGGCCCTGCCGTCCGGAGGGTGCGGTGGGGCTGGGACTGGCGGAAGCGCCTAGGCCTGGTCAGCAGCCTGCTTGTCCCTCGGTTGGTTCGCTGCCTTCCCGGCTTTGGGTCGCGGAGGCCGGTGGGCCGCTGTCCTGGGGGCGGGGACAGCCTGCGGAGGCCAGCGGGAGGGGCTGCAGAGCCAGCTGGGACGCAGGGAGCACGGGGAGGGGGCCCCAGAGGTGGGCGGCGCTGGGCGCGGGCTGGGCAGACCCAGGCTCTCTCCCTCCCTCCCTCTGAGCAGGCCGCTGCCCGGGAAGCCAATGCCCTCCTGGACATGGGGCGGCTGCGGCAGGCGCTGGGCTTCAGCTCCCTGGCCGTGCTGGCTGGTGGTGGGGGCACCTGCCACCTGCGCCTGCGTGCCACCTGCCTGGCCCAGCTGCGGGAATGCGACCTAGCCCTCAGGGACCTGGACCAACTGCTCCAGGAGGGTGCAGGTGATGGGGACCTCCCGCGGTGGGCGGAGGACCTCTGTTCTGAAGGCCACCTGCTGCTGAGCTTGGGGACGAGGTGGGGGCCGCGGCGGCCTTCAGCCGGGCCCTCACGCTGGCACCTGCCCCTGCCCAGAGCAGCCTGTGGGGGCAGCCGGGCCGGACCCCCACCATCCGCTAGTTCCTGCACCAGGGGCAACGCTGCCTGGAGCAGCAGCGCCACGCAGAAGCCTGGACAGCAGCCCAGAGCGGCCTCCTGGTGGACCCCAGCCACCGCGGCCTGAAGCGGCTGAAGGCCAGAGCCCAGAGAGGGGTGGACTCGGGCTGCTGGCTGCACTGACCCAGCCATGGCGCCCTGTCATCTTCAGCCTCGGGGTATCGCCCTCGCGGCACCCCAGATCAGGAGGAGCCTGGCACCAGGGTGGGTCCCAGTGGGATGACCAGCCTCCATCTTTTTGGCCCCGGGAGTAAAGGGACAGCTTCCTGGGAGGGTCGTCCCAAGGCTGGGGACCCTGGCGCACGCCTAGAGCTGGGAGGCTGAAGCAGCAGCCCAGGTCTCGCCCAGGACCAGGCCACGCCCTCATGCTGTGCCTGGAAGCCCCTCTTTGGGCCTGAAGCTGCCTCCCACCTTGGCCCTGGCCTGAGTCTCAGGGCTGCTGCTGAGTGCTTTCCTGGAAGTCACTCACAGGGCTGCTCCCCGTCTTGGGCCGTGGGGGGCCCAGTGAGCCTGAAAATCCTGAGGGGACCCCGCTTGGTACTTTCCTGGAGCTGGAGACAGCTGGGGACTAACCTTCCAGGCAGGCTCTTGCTCCCTCCCAGGCATGCGGGGGAGCCCAGCCGTGCCCTGTCTCTGCCCTGTCTGCTGCAGCATGCATGAGAGGTGCTGGCAGACCAGACCCCAAACCCCCTCCCGGGCCACCTGCCCCAGTCTCTGCCTGCTCCTCCCTTGGGCATGAGCCACAGCGCCCCCACCCCTCAGCTCCTGGTAGGCACCTGTCCCACCCCAAGCAGCAGAAGTGGCCCTAGGGGTCAGCAGCCCCACCCTCATCCCCTTTGGGCCCTCTTGGCACCTGCTGGGCTCTGACCACAAGGACAGGGGCTACAGGGACAGTGCCTCCGACCATGAGGATGAGGGGACTGGGAGTCCACAGTGGAGGGGGGAGCTCCAGTGCCTCTCTCCTCTCTGCCTCCCCACTCAGAAGCTCCCACTTGGCGAAGTTTCCTGGGGCACCGTTTTCACCAAGTTTTTCCTCCAGTGTCCACTGTCATCCTTCTGTGTCCACTGTGTGCTCGTGGGCTCCACAAAGATAGCCTAACTGTGTGAGGAGCCAGGGATGGGGCCAGGTTCTGGTCAGTGCCCAGGCAGTGAGGTGAGGGCAGGTGCCGAGGGGCTGGGCAGCCGTGCCTCTGCCCTTGTTCTCCCCACCCTGGTGCCCTGCCCTGTCCACCCCTGGGAGGCCATCAGAGCTTGGCTGCTGGGGTGCAGACACCCGACCTGCCCGGCCCCTCCCACCCCAGGGGGCAACAGTACCCTTGGCTCATCTGGCAGGGGAGGCACTGGGCTACCACCAAGTGTCAGGTTGAAGCCCTCACCCCCCAGGGGGTGGGACTGGGAGGTGATAAGTGGTGGGACTCATGGGGGAGAGGACATGGCTGCCCCCTCCTCAGAGTCCACTGGAGCCTTGGCCTTGAACCCCAGCCTCCAGACTGAAAAAACTCCTGTGCATTTGCAGATATAAAACTTAGTTTTGTGGCACCTCGGTGGAGGATGGCCAGATCCCCGAGGTCATCTACACCTAGCGGGGCCCCATGGGGTGGGGAGGCAGCCTTGGTCCCCAGAGCCCCCTGGGCCCCGAGGTCATCTACACCTAGCACGGGGCCCCCAAGCCCCCTGGGCCCAGAGGTCATCTTCTACACCTAGCGGTGCCGGCCACAGGGACCCCGCCTGAGGTAGGCAGGTGGGCCTCGGCCCCCCGAGCCACAAGGTCTTCTACACCTAGTGTGGGGCCCCTCCAGGTGGGGTGCCTTTGGTCACCCAGAGCCCCCAGGTGGAGGCTGGCTGTGGCCACTGTGGCCGTGGTCATGGCCGCCCAGCCCATGCCCAGGGCGGTGCCTTTGACCAGGGGCCTGGGGCGGGGCCGAGGCTGTGGCCAGACCCAGGGCTACGTCCACCTGTACATAGCCGAGCCCCTACCCCTGCCTCGCCCCATGACCCCTGCCATGGGAGGCCGCTCGTGCGCCCCCGGATGGTTTTTTTAAATAAAGGAAGAAACGCAAAAACAAGCAAACAAACAAAAAACCAAAAAAACTTAGTTTTGTTCATTTAGTTTCTGTTTAAGCACATTCTATAATGTAACAATGCCACTTAAGAAAGTAAAACCCTACAGGTGTCCCTCACATCTTTCAGAATACAACAGAAACACCTTAAGTTAGGCCCTCTTGGTGCTTCATGACCAGATTCCTGCATAATTTTCACACATTCAGATACAAAGCATACTTGAAAGCCAGCTTCAGACACCATCTGCCACAAATAGAACATTTTTCCAAGTCCATGATTATACTTGCTCATTTCTCTCCCAGATTTACTTATACCGGAATCCTTGTCATGGCTCTATGAGTATACTCTCCGTTTCTAGTCCTTTTATTATTTTTTAGTCTATTTTAGAATCCATTCTTTGGATTATTACCCTCCCTCCTCTGCTTGACCTTGAGTGTGTGACGTGTGGTTTTCTCTTGTTTCCAGCATTTCCAACAATCCTATCCACAGTGAAAGCCTGGTGACTACTTCATTCCCGCCCTTGCCTTCCTGCAAACACAGTGGAATCAGGTGCTTGTTAATCATGAGATGTAAACAGTGAGTACTGGGGCCCCACGGTGGCATAGTGGGTAAGCCTGCCACCTGCAATGCTGGCATTCCATGTTAAGTGCCAGTTTGTTTATGGCTGCCTCTCTTTCAGTCCAGCTCCCTGATAATGGGAAGAGCAGCAGAAGATGCCCAAGTGTTTGGCCCCTGTCCCTCAGGTGGGAGACCTGGATGAGCCCCCAGCTTTCCCCTGGCCCAGCCTTCGTGGTTGCAGCCATCTGAGGAGTGAACACATGGATGGAAGATCTCTGTTTCTCCTTCTTTCTCTGTAACTCCGACTTTCAAAATAAATAAAAACTTTTTAAAAAGTGAGTTATCTGGAAGCTCTTAATGCTGGGTACAATTGCCCCATGCAATATGTAGGCTGGACTTGGTGAAGGCAATGGATATTTGGGTGCTTTGCCCAGGTTGTCTTTTCTGGAGAGAGCTGGAGATACGTAGAACAAGACTTCACAATAACCCCTTGTACTACTAACCTTCCTGCTGACCACCTCTCTGCTGTTTGTATTTTTTATCACAAAATAATTGAGGCTACAATTTAGAAATGATAATACAGGTCATCTCCTGAGACCATACATGGATTCTTTTTTTTTCTTTTTGAGGATATCTAGGGCTTTATTTTGTAATGCAGAGGCCATACAGCAGATGGAAGATCTCTCTCTCTCTCCCTTTCATTGTAAGTGTACCTCTCAAATAAATAAAATCTTGAATCAGGAGGAGAGGGAAGGGGAGGGGGAAGAGGACGGAGAGAAGGAGAAGGAGAAAAGACTAAAACATGCCTTCCCTGTCCCGGAGCCGGCATGGGTTGCCACTTGCACCATGGGCACCAGTTCGAGTCCCGGCTGCTCCAGTTCCCATGCAGATGGCTGGGAAAACAGTGGAAGACAGCCTGAGTGCTGGGGCCCTGCACCCACATGGGAGACCTGGAAGAAGCTCCTGGCTTTGGCCTGGCCCAGCCCTGTCCGATGGGGCCACTTGGGGAGTGAACCAGTGGATGGAAGACCTCTCTCTCTCTCTCTCTCTCTCTGTGTGTGTGTGTGTGTGTGTGCATGTGTCACTCTGTCTTTCAAACAAATGACCCAAGACAGCTTCAAAACCAAATGAGGTCTGAGCTCTGGATTAACACAGGGACCAGGATCTGCCCACTCTCCATGAAAAGTCCTCTTCTGCACAGGGAATGCTGGGAGCTCTCTTTCCTTACTCAAAGCTCTGCTCAAATAACACCCATCCCAGCCTTACACTAGCTGGGCCCCCGTTCAGGGGCAGCCAAGATGAGCCCGAGTTGTGGGGGCAGGTCAGCTATGTGTGGGCTGCCTCAGGGCCTTTGCACAAGCCAGTCTCCACCTGACTGCTCTTCCCGCTCATCTTCCATCTGGTCGCTACTCAAGTGTCGCCTCCTGCACAGATCTTCCTCAGACACTTTATCCACGTCACCGGGAGGTAGGTCCTGTGTCTGACCATTGTCTCTGCAGTTATACGGCCTCACCTTACAGTGGCTGTCTCTGCCCACACACCATGAGCACTGAGGAGCTGGCAGACACGTCTTCCCCATCCCCCTGATTTTTTGCTTGGCAATTTTGCAAGATGATTGCATTTTTCCTGAGAAACCCCAAAGGAAGATTAGTTCACATAGTCAGATAAAGCTGAGTAGAAATAACACAAGATAGAGAAATGCAAGGAGGGTAGGGTTCAGAAGCTTGCAAAGTCTTTGAGATATCAAGATTTATTTATTTATTTGAAAGGCAGAGGTAGAGAGGGAGAGATCTTCCATCTGCTGGTTCACTCCTCAAATGGCTGCAATGGCCAGGGCTCAGCCAAGCTGAAGCCTGGAGCCTGGAATGCCATCTGGGTCTCTCATGTAGGTGGCAGGGCCAAGGAGTTTGGCCACTCTCTGCTACTTTTTCAGGCACAAGACTCAAACGGGCTCATGTGGATTCTGGCATCAAAGGTGGTGGCTTAACCAGCTCTCTTGGGGTTTGCTTCCTATTTTTTGAGAGATTCTCTAAAATAAGTTAACTTTGATTTTCATTTGTCAGAAATTTCTCAGTAAGTAAAACAAACTGCTGGTAGTCGTCATGAAAAGTGCAAAGAGTTAGCTATTTCTTAAAGGAGAAGAGACTTTCACACAGATAAACCGACAGGTCACTCTGGTTAGTCAACAGTTTGTGTTTGTGCACAGTGCCTTAGGGTCCCCAACCAATACAACAATCAGTTGAGCTGGAAAACAGGCTGAACTAAGTGGCATGCTTTCACAAAGTGACCAGTCAGGATTTCCCATACAAGAGTTCTGTGTGGTTCTAATACAGAATTCCACCAATTGCTTTGACACACATTTGTCACTGGTCTAGTGATCCTCAATTCATTAGCCCTCAGACTTGGCTTGGATTGGCTTGGATGCCAATCTAACCTATGCCTTCTAGAATTACTCCCTTTACAATCATGAGACAAAAACCTATCACGTTAAGACTTTGTATACATAAAGAACTGCATCTTAGACTTCTAGTCCCTAGAACCATGAGCTTAATAAATTTCTTCCCTTTATTTTTTAAGACTTTATTTCTTTACTTGAAAGAGTTACAAAGAGGCAGAGGCAGATAGAGAGAGAGAGAGAGAAAGGTCTTCAATCGCTGGCTCACTCCCTAGATGGCCACAATGGTCAGAGCTGTGCTGAACCGAAGCCAGGAGCCAGGAGCTTCTTCCGTGTCTTCCACCTGGGTGCAGGGGCCCAAGGACTTGGGCCATCTTCTGCTGCTTTCCTAGGCCATAGTAGAGAGCTGAATCAGAAGTGGAGCAGCTGAGACTAGAACTGATGCCCATATGAGAAGCCGGCACTACAAGCGGCTGCCTTACCTGCTCTGCCACAGCACTGGCCCCAACTTCTTCCCTTTATGATTATCTAGTCTCAAGTGTTCTGTCTTGGTGACATAATAAGGACCAAGACAGTCACAAACTCTGAGATAGTAAAATACACTGAGCATCAAGAGCCCAGTGGAACTAGTCAGAAGTCAAATTACCAGTCAAATTACTGACTGCAGATCCATTGGGCAACTGGAGTTTAGGGCCCAGTCAATGCACCTGTGTTCCAAGCAGTCTATGGTGAGTCAGCGAATGGTCTCAGTAGAATCTCCAGAATGACCACTGTTGAGGATCTGAGATAAAAAGACACAGCTGTGGTTAAGCCTTAGCATTACAAGAGGAAACTCTGCTTGCAGATACAGTCCCTCAGAGCATAGCAGAATGCTGATCGTCCATGACTGCTTGGGGCAGCGTGGCGCTCAGGGACTAAAGGATGTTCAGAGGGGGAGTGAGCTTGCATCACCATTAAGTGTGGCTCCACGGGTGAGAGTGCTGCTGGCTGTTGGTGCTCAGAGGTACAGTTCGGTGGTGAGTCTGCCCTGATGGGCTGACTTTCACAAGTGAGTGCTGACACCAACAATTTAGTTTGGCAAATGTGTATTCATAGAACTGCATTGTCCTCGATCATTTAGAGAGGTTTAAACAATGAACACGGATCTTTATTGCCACAGCTACAGAACAACCAGACTTTCCTAAGTTTGCCGGAACATTTTTATTCTCACCCTTGCATAGTGGAACCAATGTGTCAGACTATTTCTAGCTTGAATATCCTGATTACTCCATCAGATTCTTGTGACCCATCATGCATTTTAACATCACATTGCTTTAGCCTGAAAAATCTCCTGAAACCACACTTCCCAAGTAAAGCTGTTTTTTTAAGACTTATTTTATTTGTTTGTAAGGCAGAATTAGAAAGAGAGAGGGAGAGAGAGATACAGAGCTCTTCCACCCAATGGTTCACTCCCCAGATGGCTGCAGTGGCCAGGGCTGGGCCAGGCTGAAGCCAAAGCTAAGAGTCAGGAACTCATCCAGGTCTCCCACATGGGTAGCAGGGGCCCAAATACTTGGGTCAGTGCTGCTGCTTACCTGGGCCCAGTGGCAGAGAAGTAGAGCTGAAGTGTAGCAGTGAGAACTTGAACCAGGGCTCCAGTATGGGATGCCAGCATTGAGAATTAACCTGCTGTGCCACAGTGCCAGCCCTGCAGATGTGAGTCTTTGTCCCTTCATTCAAGTAGCTACTATTGATGGAAATCTATTGGTTATCTGAGATAGTAATAGGAGAGTGAAGCAGAATGGTTAGAGAGAATGTAAGAACATGCTAGGTTTGGGTTTGATCAGTAAATAATTATTCAGTATGTAGACACTTTAAAAGAATGAGCTCTAATGCAACTACCTGTCCCCAAAGAACTCATTTACTGGGGAAAGGTGAGGTTAAATGGCACAACAGCTGGGATGCCACTTGGGACACAGACATCCAATATAGGAACGCCTGATTCGAGTTCTGGATCCTTTGCTTCCAATCCAGCTTCCTGATAAGGTGCATGCTGGGAGGCATCAGGTGATGGCTATAGAACTCGGGCCCCTGCCACCCATGTGGGGAACTTGGATTGAGTTCTAAACTCCTGGCTTCAGCCTGACCCAGCCCTGGCTGTCATGAGCATTTGGGGAGTGAACCAGCAGCACTCTGCTTCTTTCTCTATATTCATCTGTCTCTCTCAAATAAAATTAAAATAAACAAATATTTTAGAAGATGTTTATATATGAATCTGAAATTTTGAGGTATGTGTTTTAAATGTACTTCAGAAATTATTAGGAAAAATCTAGTTTGATTTGAATATTCACTTTTTTGAAAAAAAAAACTCTCTTTTTTTGTGAGTCTACTAATGAGCTTGTTGAGTACTTGTAGTAATGAACATGATCAAGTGCTTCATTGCAATCATCAATTAGTTGAGAGCAAAGAGCTAAGCGGTCCATAAGTCAGAGAGGCACAGAATGAGCAAATACATCTACATCTGAAGACATTAGAGACTCAAAACTAACAATCAAAATGCTCTTGACAGTTGAAGTCTCTATCATCCAGAGGTAGCCCTGTAAATTAACCACATTCTTTCTTCTGCCAAGGAACTTGATATTGAATGCAGCATCAAAAGACGGCCCAGTAAAATGGTCTGTATTCACATTAGGGTAAAATACATTTCTGAAAAACACAGAATTGGATGACTCAACTACAAAATATTTCTGACTCAAAGCAAATCCCAAGTGTTATCAGTATCATCATCAGTGTGAGCAGTAGCCCCTCATGACCAGTGTCCCCGGAATGATTCTGGATCCCCAGTGTCACCATCCCCGGCATGAGCAGTGAGACCAGTGTCCCAGTATGACCCATGTCACCATGCCCAGTATGAGCAGCCTCTCCGGGGTGACCATCTCTAGCATCCCAGGTCACCAGTATGTCCAGCATCACGAGGAAGGTAAGTCTGCAGAGGGGAGAAGAATTCAGTCAGAATTATTGTTCTAAGTCATCTTTGGACAATGGGGAAAACTGCCCTCCCTGGTGTTCTTTTGAGGCTTTAAGGAAACTGGTGGCTGGATTTGTTTTCTGTTACTGTAACCCAATAGCAAAGACTGGATAATTTATTAAGAAAAGAAATCCATTTCTTGGAGACTAGGAAGCCCAAAGTTGGGGGCTGCATCTGATGGGAGCTTTCTGGTTGGAAAGGAACTCTCTGTAGAGTCCTGCAGTTGTGCAGGGCAGCTCATGTTGAGACAGAGAAAGTGTATGAGCTTTGGTCTCTCCTGCTTTTCTTATAAAGGCACTAATGCAAACCCAGGAACCCCACTCCCATACCTCATCTAATCCTAATGACCTCCCAAAGACCCTCACCTCAAATACCATGTAACATTGAGGACTAATTTTCTTTTTTTCTTTTTCTTTTTTAGACAGGCAGAGTTAGACAGTGAGAGAGAGAAATAGAGAGAAAGGTCTTCCTTCCGTTGGCTCACCCCCCAAATGGCCACTGTTGCCAGCGCACTGCGTCAATCCAAAGCCAGGAGCCAGGTGCTTCCTCCTGGTCTCCCATGGGGTGCAGGGCCCAAGCACTGGGGCCATCCTCCACTGCCCTCCCGGGCAACAGCAGAGAGCTGGACTGGAAGAGGAGCCACTAGGACAGAACTGGTGCCCCAACTGGGACTAGAACTCGGGGTGCCGGTGCCTCGGGCAAAGGATTGGCCTAGTGAGCCGCGGCGCTGGTCTTTTTTTTTTTAATTTAAAATTTATTTGAGAAACATAGACACAACACCCCCCCTCCCACCTGCTGGTCCATGCCCTCAAATGCCCACAACTGCCGCCCAATCCCCAAAGGGCATGGCATGGCCTTCTGCTCTGGCCGCCCAATCCCAGGAGCATGGGGCTGGGCCCTCTGCACTGGCCTCCCTATCCCAGAGGGTGGGGCGGGGCCGTCTGTTTCGGCCACACCCAACCCCGCTCCCACCCTCCACCCATCCAGGCCGGTGCTCCGGGACCACAAAGGCCTGCAGACGCTGCTGCAGCACCTGACCTCCCGCAGCCTGACCATTGTGAGCAACGCGCGGGGCATGCTCTGGAACCTGTGGGCCCGTAGCGCACAGGACCAGGAGCTGCTGTGGGACCTGGGTGCCGTGGGCATGCTGCGCAACCTGGTGCACTCCAGGCACAAGATGATCGCCATGGGCAGTACCACCTCCCTGAGCAACCTGCTGGCCCACCGGCCTGCCAAGCACCAGGCGCCGCCAAGGCCGTATCCCACGGCACCTGCGTGCCCAGCCTCTACGTTGGCAAGCAGGGGCGCTGGAGGCGGAGATCGACGCCTGCCACCTGGTGCAGGCGCTCGGCCTTCTGGAGATGCAGGCCCTGCCCTAGGCCGCCGAGGCCGCCGCCAAGAGGCTGCTGCTGCCGCCCCTGTGGCACCTGGACTGGCTGCCGCGGGACTATGCCTCTGACTCAGGCTGCTTCGACGACAACGCCGCACCATCCCTGTCCGCAGCCACCCCAAGCCCGCCAGCCCGGCCGTGCTGTTCTTCTTCCTGGGCAGCCCCTTCCTGCAGGGCCAGGCGCTGGCCCGCACCCAGCCAGTCCGCCGCGGCCTGGAGCTTGAGAAGGAGGCCGGCGGCGAGGCGGCCGTGGCGGCCAAGGCCAAGGCCAAGCTGGCGCTGGCGGTGGCGTGGATCGACTGTCTGGTGGAGGACATCTCGGGCTTGCACACCTCGTCGACTGACAGCTTCAGCCTCAGCTCCAGGGACCCCCGGCAGGAGGCGCCGAAGGAGGGCCAGGCGCAGTCCTGCTCCTTCTGCCGCGGCCCCGAAGGCGGCTGGCCGGAGGTAGGGGGCCGGGCGCACGCCCTGCTCCGGCTCAAGGCGGCCCACGCCAGCCTGTCCAACCGCAGCTTTAACAGCGGCAGCACCAGCTACTGCCCGCGGGAGCACATGCAGCCCTGCCCGCTGGCCGAGCATCGCGAGGAGCTCCTGGGCGGGCAGCCGCAGCCAGCTTGGCTCGACCTCGACCCGGGGGGCAGCCAGGCCGAGGGGCCCACCCGGGACGCCGCTGGCGCCGACGCCTGCGTGTGCACCATCAAGCTGTCGCCCACCTATCAGCACGTGCCCCCCCCCCTCGGCGGCCCCAAGGCAAACCCCCGCCGCGACCTGGAAGCAGGCCTGGCTGCCAGCGGAGGGCCTGAGCCAGGTGCCCGAGAAGCTGTGGGCTGGCCGGCCGCCCCCAGAGGCTGGTAGCATAGGAGGGGCCCCTCTCACTGTCCCGCTGCAGCTTGCTGTCTTCGCTGTCCTCCGCCGGACGCCCGGGCCCCTGCGAGGCCAGAGACCTGGACAGCGACTCCTCCCTGGAGGGCCTGGAGGAGGCCGGCCCCGAAGAGGCGGAGCTGGGCGGGGCGTGGCACGGGCCCTCCTCCCTGCCCATGGCCATCCCAGCGCCCCAGCGGGGCCGTGGCCAAGGCCTGGGCATGGAGGATGCCACGCCATCCAGCTCTTCCGAGAATTGTGTGCAGGAGATACCGCTGGTCCTGAGCCGCTGCAGCTCCGTGAGCTCCCTGGGCAGCTTCCAGAGCCTGTCCATCGCCAGCTCCATCGCCAGTGACCCCTGTAGCAGGCTGGGCAGCGGCATGGTGAGCCCCAGCGAGCTGCCCGACAGACCATGCCGCCCAGAGGGCTTCACGGTGGAGAAGCTGGACGAGAAATTCTGCGCCTCCAGCCTCAGCGTGCTCGCCCTGCAGGAGCACTCCTAGCAGCAGGACATGGAGCTGAGGCTGCTGCCGCCCGCCTGCCCCGACCACGGCACTGGCTGGGATGGAGGTGGCGCCTGGTGCCGCTGGGGAGAAGTCTCCGGATGCCAGGAGGGGCCGGCGCTCGCGGGCTCCCGCAACCACATGGCTGCGGACCAGCAGCTGGAGCTGCTGCACGAGTGCCTAGGGGCCGCAGTGCCCGTGTGACTCCGCAAAGTGGCCTCGGCGCTGGTGCCCGGCCGCCGGGCGCTGCCCGTCCCTGTCTACAAGCTGGTGCCCGGGAGGATGACTCGTGAACCAATTCGGCGGAAGGCATGCTGGTCAGCTTCTCCAGCGCCGCGTCCCTCAGCCACAAGACCCTGCAAGGGCCACCCAGGGAGCAGCCCTGAGGCTGGCTGGACAGGCAGGAGCCCCCCGGCCTTGCAGCCCCCTCTAGCCAGGTCTCGGGGCACTGGCTCAAGGCCGGGGGCACCAGCTGGAGCCCAGAGCAGGCCCGGGGCACAGGCAGGAGCCGGGCCGGTCTGGAGCTGCCCCGGTCCGGCTCCCAAGTGCCCATTTGGACTGGGCTTAGGATGAAGGGGGGGTAGTCCCTGTGCCTCAGGATGCCCACTGAGGAGGCCGGGTACTGCTTCTAGGACTCTGATGAGGCGCCCTCCTCGGCCGGGCTGCCCCCGTGGCGACCATCTGCCATCCCGCGGGCTCTGAAGCGGGGCGGGAAGGAGGCCCCGGCCCCAGCCAAGGCGGCTGCTCAGGTCCAGCTGCACCCCTGGGCCCAGCCCCAGGTGATCTCCGACAAGACCCCACCTTGCTACTCCCTGAGCTTCTTGGCCAGCTCGCTCAGCAAGCCAGAGCCATATGAGCGGCCGGCCAGCCACCTGGGAGGCCGGGAGCCCATGGTCCCCCAGGCCCTGCACCGGGCAGGTGGACATGACAGCTCCCCCAGCCTGCACTCTGAGGAGGCACTCCTGCACCACTGCATAGGCTCAGCCGTGCCCAGGCGCCGGTCTCCGGCCTCTGGCCCTCATTGCAAGGCATGGGCTGCCGGGCAGGACTAGTGGCTGGCAGAGGCGCCCCGGGACTGTAACCAGGAGGCGGCCAGCTCAGACCGGGCCACTGACCTGGAAAGCATGGAGTGGCCCGCCATCCAGGAGGGCACCAACTCCATGGTCACGTGGCTGCACCAGGCTGCCGCAGCGGCCCCCTGCGAGGCCTCCTCCCAGTCTGACTCCCTCCTGTCCCTGGGGCCTGCTCTGGAGGACTAATTTTCAACATGAGTTTGGACACACACACACACACACACAGACAATAGCAATAGCTTTGTTTCCTTATTGTCAAATAACTAAGCCAAATATTGTGGCTTGATTTCTATAAATGAATCCCCTGAAATGTATATTTAGATATGTATTAATAAAATCAGAAAAGTAATGCTGATTCCATTGGGGGTGACAATGAGGTATACAAAGAGAGATTTTTCACTAATTTTTAAAAAATTTTATATTTCCTTTTTTTAAAGATTAAGATTTTATTTATTTATTTATTTGAGAGGTAGAGTTACAGACAGTGAGAGGGAGAGAGAGAAAGAAAGGTCTTCCTTCTGTTGGTTCACTCCCCAAATGGCCACAATGCAGGAGCTGCACTGATCTGAAGCCAGGAACAAGGAACTTCTTCCCAGTCTCACAAGTGGGCACAGGGGCCCAAGGACTTGGACCATCTTCTGCTTTCCCAGGCCACAGCAGAGAGCTGGATTGGAAGAAAAGCAGCCAGGACTCAAACAGGCACACATATGGCATGCCGGCATCACAGGTGGAGGATTAATTTACTGTGCCATGGCCCTGGCTCCAGATTTTTCATTTAATTTGTATGTTTTTAAGGATTGCTGTGTGATAGAGTATTTGTTTCAGTATTTGTGGTATCAATTGTAATGATACGATTTTGATGATTTGATATTTTGCTGTTTTTCAGATAATCAACAGTAAGGCTGTCATACTTTTTTTTCAGGGATAATAAATCTATTTTAATAACGTTACTTTTGACAGCGGTTTTTGTCCATGAATGTAAAGATAACTCTCGACACCCCCCCACCCCCGCTCTCTTACAAACTGGGGGTTGGGCTGCCCTTGCCAGGAAGTGAGAAAGCTGCAACATGGACAGTCTGTGCCTCCCACTTGGAGAAGGGGACTCCACAACGTGTTGGGAAAAAAGACCTACGCGTTCAAATTCCTGGTTGTACACCTACCTGTACATTGGTGTCAATTGAATGGCTCAAATTAGACAAATATAGATTCCATATATACAAATATTCTATTATGTATAGGTATAGTATATCTATTGTAAAAGGAAAAAATTTTAAACTTTTGACTGTGCATGCACGGCCCAAATCTGGTTCTCACTCCTTAATCCCAAAGTGTGAACAGGTCCCCCTCTAACCCGCTGTGCCAACTTCACCCTGACCCTGCCCTTCTGTGCACACCCTGTCCCCCCCACGCTGCAGCTCCTGGGCTCCTCTCCTTAGTGTGACTGCGCCAGCTCCAGAGCCTCTGAGCCCAAGACAGAGCGGGATGACCTGCAGCCACCTTAACCTCACTTCCTTAACTGCACTTTAACCCTCAGAGACTTCTGCAGGCAACAAAGTTATACACTACAAGCCCCCATGCAGGAGGCAAGGCCTCCCCTCTCTAAGAGAAAAGACAGCAGGATTCTAGCTCCTGGAGTCTGCTAAGTTTCAAGTCAGTTTCTCTGCACAGCACCGGAAACGTCGTGGGCCCGGCCTGTGCTGTGTCCCGGTGAGCTAAGCCTCCACCTGCAGAGCCGGCTTCCCCCATGGGCGCTGGTTCCTGTCCCGGCTGCCCCTCTTCCCTTCTGGCTCTCTCCTAATGGGCTGGGGAAGCCATGCAA